TAGAGATGTTCATCGTGATTGACAACTCGTCGCTGTCGGATGGATTGCAAGGAATATTGAATTATTGATCTACAATTCGCGACTATAATTATGTTTGAATAGAACTAGTGCTACTAATTGATAAAATTCGTCCGTCATCAGAGTGTTGTCCTTGCAAATATTCAATTTAGAGTTGAATTCATGCAACTCTATGCTTTCTCTTAAAAAATACATCGTATCACGATAAACATCTCCGCTTTTTTATATATCTGATAAGTTTTTATTCTAAAACAGATCGAAATATTCAAAGAAGAGATCTGTTAACAAAAATACTTATTGCGCATAGAGAAACAAAGAATGTGATTAAAAGTGAGTCCTGACAAAGCAGATTATTTAACAGAATCAAATAAAAAAAGACGTCAAACTAATCATGACTTATTCATTGATGTCTATCATGTATTGACAATGATAGTTGATATCATATTTTCAGGTAAAACACGTCCGATGATTAATGCAGATTTTCATCAATTCTCTTTTCCCTTTGTCACGTTCTTCTTCAATAAAATCAAAGATTTTTCTATATAATCAAAAAAGAAAAGAAAAAGATCATGTTGAATTTGAATTTCGAAAAGAATGAAATTCAATGAAAAATAACAAATAAAATCATGAATTATGTTTATTGATCCAATTTAAAATCAATTTTTTATCTTACCTATAATGGACAAACTCTTCTCTAGAAAACCATTTTTTCTCTTTGTGTGTTATACTGGAAGAAGTGAATGAGAGAAAAAGAGGGAAAGAGAGATATATAACTAAAGAAAAAATCTACAACGAGTGTCATTTTGTTTTCGTCGAAGATAAAGTACAAGAGGAAGATTATTTTATTAGTTCACTAATTTATCAAAAAAAAACTCTTGTTGAATGATGTGGAATATCTACATATTTATCATTATTCTCCTGGTCATTCTCAACAATGAAACATCAGGTAAATACTTTTATTTATCACATACCCAAGATCAGCTATCGCGCAAAAATGATATTATTCATTAGAATTTTAGTTGAACAAAAAGGAATGAAATAATAGATTATAGAATTCGTCAGGAATTTCTGTTATATATTCAAAAGTGATGGTACTCATCTCTTTTAGCGACTATACGCAATTTTTCTATGGTTTGAAGAGTTAGTATATTTTAAGTCTGAAAGTATAAGTTGGAATATTGATTGATAGTATTGTAGATATCTGAGTTTATATCGATTCATATAGTTTCAAAACGACTGAAAACTTGAACATTACTGAAATCTTATATCGATATCAAATTAATTTGTAGATCTTGAGACGAGAATGAGACACAAGAGAAAGAAAAGAAACCTATTTCATCATATCGCATTACAACATATGGAAAAAAAGGATTAGTTGACTTTTCCAGATAAAATCAAAATGAAAACAAAGTTTTGTGAAATTATTTGACTATTCTATTTTGAGATAAGATGTAGATCGATTTATCCCATACAGATCACCGTCTTCATTATATAAAAAAATACTATGATTATGATAAAATAATTCTATTGTGTTTGATGTATTCAAAGAGTTTTATGTATAAAAATAGAGATAAAGTGTGAAGTCAGTTTATTCAATTATAAACTATAGAAATGAATATATCTCCTAGAAAGAAAGAGCACAAATTATAAGAGAATGTAGAAATACTTTGCGAGTAGAAATTCATGATTGACACTACCATATTTGTTACTAGACTATCATAAAAGAATATTGTTAACTAAGGCAAGATTTGAAACAAAGCTCAGATACATAGAAGTTTTTCTTATGTTTAAAAGGAATCAATGATTATTGAATTTGTTTTCTCAAAATATTCAACTTGAAATAATGAGAGGAAAAGTTTCATTAAATTGAATTATTATTTGACAAAAAAGTTAAAGGAAATTGGTTTTATTCAATATAAGTTTGGTTCAGATCGATTTCAAATTTGTTTTGTTTAATTTCATAAGAATTTAAAAAGAAAGAGAAAAAAAATAATTTTTTTCAATTAATTTCTTCGAATGACTATTTAATTAAAAGTTAGCAAGAGAATTTTCATCTCTCTTTCACATATCAGATTCAATTCACAATGTTTTTTATATGAAAATTAGAATTGATTTTGAATTTCAATAAACTCATTTTCATTCTAAAACAATTCTTTTTTCCTCTTTTGAATTCATTTTCGTTGAACAAATAAAAAAAATTATTTACCTATTTCTTTTTGTCTTCAATGATAATCAGATGTTCTCAAGGATAGAACTCTTTTAATTCATATTTACAGATCATCCGAGAGAATAGACCAACAATCATAGAAATGTTTTCAAAATTAATCTCAATGAATTTTCCAAGAAAAAACATAAATTTATAACTTCATTTTGTTCACAGTCTTCTCTAATATTCTCTGTATTATTCTTGTTTTAGCTCTTTCATTCAATCAACCAAAGTTTTCTCCAACACCCATTTGGGATTCTAATGGAATTACTTTTGCTAATCAATCGATTGTTGGTGAAAGTCCTAGCGTCATTTTTGTGAACATAAACAATACAATCTATGTCGCTAATCGAGAAAATAACACGATTGTAATATGGCAAGAAGGGAGTGTCAATCCGACAAAGATCATTCACGGTAATTTTACACAAACCTGGTCTCTCTTCGTGACATCGAATGGTGATATTTATATTGATGATGGTGAGAAGAATGGTCGAGTACAGAAATGGATAGCAGAAACAAATACCTTTGTTACAGTGATGAATGTCAACTCATCATGTGATGGTTTGTTTGTCGACATCAATGATACGCTTTATTGTTCAATGTCTGCTCAAGTAGTGAAAAGATCATTAAATGATTCTGTGATGAGTTCAAATCGTGTTGCCGCTGGAACAGGCATTGAAGGATCAGCCTCGAATCAACTCAACAGTCCTCATGGAATCTTTGTTGATGTGAATTTGGATTTATACGTAGCAGATTGTTACAATGATCGAGTTCAGCTATTTCAGTCAGGAGAATCAAATGGTATCACAGTGGCTGGAAGTACGTCACGAAATCCAACAATTAAACTTCGTTTACCACGTGGAATTATATTATATGCTGATAAGTACTTATTCATTCTGGATTCCTTCAATAGTCGCATTATTGGTTCAGGCTTGAATGGTTTCCGATGTTTAGTTGGATGTTATGGA